AAATTACTATTTTTCATATACTTAATTTGCTAATTTGATTGATATTACTTATTTAATATTTAGTTATTTCTTTTAACTATTTCACTAACACTTATTTTGATCGTTTCTTTTAATATTTTAATTGCTTATTTTAATTATTTTTCTAACACTTAATTTAATTATTTATTTTTAATTAATGTTTGAACACTTATTTTAATTCTTTACGCATATTGCTTATTTCATATTTACAAATTTATTTTAATTACTTTGCAAAAAATTAATTTGATTGACATTTTGATTTCCTAATTTAATTGTTTATTTTTATTATTTTACAAATGTTTATATATTTATTAAAATTCTTTATGCATATTACTTATTTAACATTTAATTAATTATTTTACTAACACTTCTTTTGATAGTTTATTTTAATTGCTTATTTTAATTATTTTTCTAACACTTAATTTACTTTTTTCTAACACTTAATTTACTTTTTATTTTTAATGAATTTTTTAAACTTATTTTAATTATTTACGCATAACGCTTATTTCATGTTTACAAATTTATTTTAATTGCTTTGCAAAAAATTAATTTGATTGATATTTCAATTTTCAAATTTAATTGCTTATTTTTATTGTTTTATAAATGTTTATATATATATATATATATTTTACTAACACTTATTTTGATATTTTAATTGCTTATTTTAATTATTTTTCTAACACTTAATTTACTTTTTTATTTTAATGAATTTTTAAAACTTATTTTAATTTTTTACGCATAATGCTTATTTCATATTTACAAATTTATTTTAGTTGCTTTGCAAAAAATTAATTTGATTGATATTTTAATTTTCAAATTTAACTTCTTATTTTTATTATTTTACAAATATTTAAATATTTATTTAAATTCTTTATATTTATATATTTTTTACTATTACTTAATATAAAATAATTATTTAATCTAAATTAGCAACTAATAAATATTTCGATACATAATAAAACATTTTATATCTTACATTTCAAATAAATAATTTTAAATACATAATATACATTAAAATTAAACAATTCAAATAAATAATTAAATATTAGAGAACACAATATAAGCAATTAATAATTATTTAATTAATGTCAATAATTATGGAAAAAAAAATGATCCACGACACAAATAACAAACGGCCCAATCAACTGGGGCTGTTGACTGGGCGCCCGGTGCCCAGACGGGGTGCCCAGACAGTAGCTCCGTTCAACCTGGAGATCGCCAGAAAACTCCATTTTCGGCGATCTCCACTCCATTTTTCGTTCCCAAACAATATTTATACCCAAATTTCACATTTATACAAGGATTTCTCAACACATATATATAAAATCATGTTTTTTTTCCAAAAATTACAATAAAAACATGCTTTTTCTTGGGTATAAAAATCTTACCTTCTTCAGTTCGAAATGGCCAATTGAGTCTCATGTTTTTCCTTTTTTGTCGTGCCTGAGTCGATGGTGCTATAGTTGACTGTTAACTCTCATCTTCTATCTTTTTCAAATGTTAAGGGTAAATTTGGATTTTTCTTGTTTTTTGTTGATTTTCAAGATTTTAAACTTTTTGCTTTTTTTTTTTAACCTGGTCAAAAGCCTCTTTAAACAAGTGGTCAGATCAATCAATTATTGGCCACTATTTCCTCGAGTTTTTGAAATAATAGTTGTCAAATAAGGGCAAGTGGATTAATTTAATTTTAACGGCAGCCCAATTCCCCTAACTCCAAACCCGAAATCCCCGTCTGGCCAGTTCCTCCCTCTCTGCTCTCTCCGGCTGTCGACTCTCTGCTACCTCCGTCTATATGCGTTATACCATCCGACTGCAGTAATTCAGGTGTTTGAGAAATACTTCACTTGTTAGTTTTAAATTGAATTTATACACATGTTCAGACGTGCAAATTTATAATCACTTGTTATTGCTGTTTGATTATCTTACAATTTTATGGTTTATTTTTGGTTGATCAACTTACAGAATCTAGGCTTCTTTTTTTAATGTTTATAATTAAAGTATCATAGATATGATGTTCGCTGCAGGATTCGTTTGATGTGTGATGTATCCTTGTGCATTCTTCCCTTTTTTTTTTTTTTTTTTGAAATGATGATCTTACAATATCTACCTTCAGAAAGCTTAAAACCCCAACGTTTAAAAAAAAAAAAAAATTCTTTTTCTGGGCTTTAGATCCTAAAATGGAGTTCAAATATTTCAAACACACATACACAGAAAGAAATTGAAGGTAATATTCATCATGAACTTTAAACATTCTTTTTTTCATATCTCTGCTAGGTCATGCTTCTGGAAGCAAATATTTTTACATTACTACGTTGGTTTCCAGTTCAAAACCCAATATATCACAATGGCATTTGTAAATAAGATCACACTGCTAGCAATTAGGCTCAGAGAATTTGATTATTTAAGATTTATTTTGTTGCTTTAGTATTTTTGGAGCTCCATATTGCCACTGGAAACAGAAACATTGTGGTAGTTTCTAAGGTTGGGGCTCCGAGGTGTCCTCTATTGTCATAATTTGTTGCAATAGGTTTGAACCATCTCATCTATAGATAGTTTGATATAGTATTGGGGTAATTAGAAGTCTTGAGTTTTTAAGTCTCTCAGGCATCCTTTATGAAAAGTGTTCGAGACCGGTATTTGATGACAAGAAAAGATAATCTGGCCTGCACTTCAGTGGCAAAAGCTGAATACTTTGATCACGTTATTGTTTTCTAGGAGAAGAGCTATTTCTATTACATGTTATAAGTTGTGTTTCATATTTTCAAATTTATGATTGTTAATGAAATTCAGCATATCGTACATAAAATTATAAATGTAAAGTTTCACGATTGCATAATATGTTAATAGCGTGTCCAAATGACATTTAAAAAAAAAAAAAAAAAGTTTTCACAAGTATAAAGTTTCATTTAACGTGGTAGATTTTACCATAATTTACTCTTTTACGAACTCCACTCTAGAATATCTATGAAATATCCACTTAGAATATAATTTATCCATGTGTCTTTAGGCCTTTGACACTTTCGTTTCCTGCACTATAGTTATCTGTTTAGTTCTTTAGAATTCGTAATAGAATAAGTTTAAATAGAACTTTTTTACTGTGTATTTTATTCATGTCACGTGAAGTGCAATTGGGAGGGAAAAGAATCTGAACCAGAAGAAAAGAAAGGGGAAGAAGAAGAATGAAGCTCCAACAGTTTAATCTACCCTTTAAACCAAAATTGTGTCGTATGGATTAAACGGAACGGTGTCGTTTTGGCCTCAATAATTGAATTAGTTGGAAACGTTTCTTTATTGTTAATTTTGTGAAACACGACTTTGATGCATCCGTGTTCATATACCTCCATGTGCAAAGATGAAAGGATCGGTGTGTGTAATTGGATATTTTCAGTGCAATNGACTTTGATGCATCCGTGTTCATATACCTCCATGTGCAAAGATGAAAGGATCGGTGTGTGTAATTGGATATTTTCAGTGCAATTGTTGAAATCGTTCAACAGCTTCCTCTTTCCCATTCTTTTTATTTTCTCATTTTCCCCTTCCCTTTTCTATTTCTCTTATTTGGTTACAATTTTAACTGGTTCAGCTGGTAAGATTTCCATTATTTGATCCATGCAAGTGTGAAGTTGCGAGGTAGGGTTCAGCTCGTGACAAATTGGTATCAGAGCAGGTGTATTATACTGGGCATTCACAAAAAATGGATACACGGGCCAAAGTTGTGGATGACCATTTGCAAAAACTGGATTTAGAGGTTGCAGACCTGGGTAAAGCCTCCAAAGCTATTATCAGCAAACTGGAGGCCAAAATGGAGTCCTCAGAGCAAACACTTCAGGTACTTTGTCATAGGCAAGAAAAAATTGAGGATGCTGTATTAGACATGAATCAAAAGTATGAAAAATTAGTGACTATAATGGCCCAAATGACTGCTGATTTTGAAACTGGACAGGAGAATAAGAGTAAGGAAGGATTCATGACTAACATGGGATCTAGTAGTGTGTTAACGATACAAGTAGTGGTCAAGAGAATAGTAGTCATGCTATAGGTGAAATCAGGGGAGGCACTAATCTCCCTAAAATTGATATCCCACAGTTTGGGGGAGAAAGACCCAAGGAATGGCTGAGGAAAGCTATGGAATATTTTCATCTCCATCAAATTCCTGATGAACTTAGATTGGGAGTTGCAAAGATGTATTTGAAAGGGAACGCTGATATATGATTTTATGGATTCATTGCCAGCCACCCTGGAGCGGACTGGAGCTTGTTTTCTGATGATTTTTGCAGGAGGTTTTCAGAAACTATTGAGAAAGAAGTGATTTAGACATTTAGGAAAAGTAAACAACTGGGACCAAATGAAGATAAAGGCTATGAGTCTGAAGGAGAAACAGGAGGTGAGGAGATCATGGAGATATCTATTAATGCATTGGCTGGGAGGTGGCAACACCAAACCATTAGAGTTCCTCGAGTGATGAAAGGGAGGAAAGTCTCCATACTCATTGACAATGGGAATACTCATAGTTTTGTTGAGGAAAAGTTAGCCAAAGAACTGAAATATGTCACTGATGAAACTAGCAAAGTGACTGTTAGAGTAGCCAATGGTGATAAACTGGAGAGTAAATCCTTATGTCAGCCAGTGGCGTGGGAGATGCAAAACTGGGAATTTCAGTTCAAACTTGGATCTCTTAAGTTGGCTGGAAGTGACATGGTATTAAGGGTAAATTGGGTAAGTCAATTTGGTTCAAGTACATTTGATTTTGTACAAGGGTGTGTCCAATTTAGCAGTGATGATGAAGTGGTGGATTTGAGGAGCATAATTTCTAAACAGCCGATAAAGATGATGAGAATAGATGAGGGGGAGAGAATGTTTGGTAAAGAACCTTATGGGATAGTGGGATGGTTATACTCTATCAAAGAGGAGAAAAGTGGAGAGATGCCTAACAAGATATTGGAGATTATTCACAGATTTCCCAGGGTGTTTTGAAGAANTCTACCCTTTAAAACCAAAACCGTGTCGTATGGATTAAACGGAACGGTGTCGTTTTGGCCTCAATAATTGAATTAGTTAGAAACGTTTCTTTATTGTTAATTTTGTGAAACACGACTTTGATGCATTCGTGTTCATATACCTCCATGTACGAAGATGAAAGGATCGGTTTGTGTAATTGGATATTTTCAGTGCAATTGTTGAAATCATTTAACAGCTTCCTCTTTCCCATTCTTCTTATTTTCTCATTTTCCCCTTCCCCTTTCTATTTCTCTTAATTTGGTTACAATTTTAACTGGTTCAGCTGGTAAGATTTCCATTATTTGATCTGTGCAAGTGTGAAGTTGCGAGGTAGGGTTCAGCTTGTGACAATTCCTTACCTAAAGTCATGTAAGTTAGGTAAGTTGCTTCACATTAGTTTTCTGACTGAAATTCCCAAGAAACTACATAGTATTCCATCCATTTAACTAGCTAGATAAGATGAGGTAAGGTTTTTCTATATGTGAGCCTGTGAGATTATTATAATATACATTTCTTTGGTTATATTTTCAATTGAGTGTAATTTAATAAAATAAAATAAATCTTAAGATGGTTTTAACCACTACAAATGATAGTGAAATTTGGGCAATTTAGTATTGTTTGAGTAGGATCAACCTGGGACAATGGCAGGTGGATCTCAACAAGCTATATATTAGCTTCATCAAGCATCTCTATGTGTTGTTTTGATTGTTTGCCTTTTATCACTAGTTCTTTTCTATTTTGGAAATGTAATTATTTGATCTGAAGAGTTCTTGTCTGGTGTCTCGCACACAAGAACTGGACTTGATGAATCTTTAAGCAACAGCCTTTTTCAAAAGCTGTAATTGTAAGATGGATAGTCGATATGAAATGTAGGTGCTTTTGTTTATTTCTAGTGGAGAGAATTTTATGTGGGTTCAAGTGTTGACAAAAGAAACTGTACATTTTCAGTGTTATATATGTAGTTTTGAAGCACAAAAAATCTTTGGTGTACTTAGCTTGACTGCATGTGATTGTTGTTTGCTTCGAATGAGCTCCTAGAAATCAATGGTGCATTTGTTTGCACTTTATTTATTTATTTTTTGTATCCCATAAATTGGCTGTTTTTGTTTGATCCATGCACCTTTTCTTTCGTCGGATTTCACAGGGTGCAACTTCTCTGAATGGTGCTTTCTTAGTTGATTTGGTAAAACAATATTCTAGGTAGTTGAAAATGAGTTTGATTGGACGACTAAGGCACCATTTACCCTACGGATACTTTAGAAAACCCATTGGAGCTCCTGTGACTACCTTGTTTGATCAACTTATTTGGGGTGATTAGGAACTTTGCTCAACCTGCATTAAAAGAGGAAGAAGGGGAGGAGGAAGTAGAGATAGACCAAAGAAGACTTCCTGCTGATTATAATCCCGAAACTTTTGATCCCACAGAGCATCGCACTCCCCCAACGGATAGAGTATGGAGACTTGTTGATGAAATATCTGGACTCACACTGGTTGAAACTGCAGAGCTCTCTTCCATTATGATGAAGAAGTTGGGGATGAGAGAGCTGCCAGTTGTCGGGGTCATGAAGCCAGGTGCTGCTGGAGTGGCTTCGGTGGGAATGAAGGCATCATCGACAGCCAAAGAAGAAAAGAAACCGGAAAAGACAGCTTTTGAGTTGAAGATGGAGTCTTTCGACTCAGCTTCAAAACTCAAGGTAATTAAGGAGATTCGGAGTTTTACGGATTTAGGACTAAAGGAAGCGAAGGACTTAGTGGAGAAGGTGCTTGCCGTGCTTAAGAAAGGGGTGCCAAAAGAAGAAGCAGAAAAAATTATTGAGAAGATGAAAGCAGTTGGGGCTGTTGTCGTTATGGAATGACGTGAAAATAAGTACCGTGATAATTTCATCGTTAACGTCTTTTAAATCTAGTAAATTTTTTCTCAAGGAAAAGCAGCGTTCTTGTACTTCTAATTTCATATCTAGATCTAGACACAGAGATCTCAAAACAGGTATTGAGTCTTCCAAAACTTGGTTTAGGTACTTGTATTTTCTACTTTTTGTTCTCTGTGTAATTGATTATGTGCTTGCAAGCTCAAAATTGATTATTTCTTCTTATGCCCTTATTGGATACAGTTTGCCTTGGAAGTACAGCAACTTTAACCCACATTGGTAATGGCATCGAGCTTCAGCAACATTTACACAGCCTAGCACCTATGGGTTTTTACTTTCTATTTTGCCTCCATTTCGGAAATTTATATATGGTTTATAAAGAGAAATAGTAATGGATCACATGAAATGTCGTGGACAATAATGAATAATGTGTGGTTCGAATTAAAATTTGATTTTGACTAAATCTATTCATTCATAAATTTGTGTCCAAACGACTAAAATAACTAATTTGAATAATACACTTTTAAATTAATTAAATCTTTTAAATAAGTAATTAATTCGTTCTAAACTACTAGAACCCCTAACCTATATAAGTAACCTCAATAGAAAACCTGCATCCTCAACAAAACCCATTCCAGAAGGCTTTAAAGAAAAAACCTTCCTCGTCCACTATTTCTCTCATCGTCTCCTCCGACTTCTCTTTGAAAAACTTTGAACCACCGAACCTCTAAAAGGTCCAAATCGTAACCTTCAAAATCGGAAACTCGCAATTGTTGGTGAAGAAGGAAGTTCAAAGAAGAAGAAAAAAATTTCTTCAAAAGCTTAAAAACATAAGGTTGGTCAAGATTTTTCACTACTTAAAACTTTTTTATGGTTTTTATTCCATTTTATGTTGAAATGTTTAGTTTTTTTGTTTACTGTAACTTGTGTTTTTGTGTTTTATAAGAGCTTTAAATATATTTTGAAATGTTTATTGTCATAAAATCAAGTTGTGATGATTATCTTTTAAAAAATAGTGCTGATTTATTTATTTGGGAGCACCTTTTAGTTCAGTAAGCTCTTTTAACAATGACAATGGTATGTCATTGAGTTTATTGAACTTAAGTTGTTAGTCTTGCTAATCAACTAGCAGAACAAGGTCTGATAACAAATTGTGTGAGAAAAATAGATTACTAGGAAAACATTTGTGCATTTACCATTAGGAAATAGTTGTTTAGTTCCATTCTTAAATAATTTTGGCACAAGATCATTTCAATCACTTTCAGAGTGGAAAACCTTTTGAAACTCTGAATTTTGAACTACACATGCTAGCTAGCCATATTTTCATTTACATAGCTACTAAGTGAGTATATAGAATGTAGGAATCTGTTTTTCTAGTAGTTGATAATTCTGTCAATTATCTATTATGATACAAATGATACAACACAGAGG